CACGTGTGCGAACCATGCCTCCGCGGCGTGCTCCCAGAATTCCGGCAGCTTTATGAAAACATCGCGCTCAGCCATGTTCGTTAATTTTCCGGAAACTTTCTCGGAAAAGTCAGGGTCACCAGTGTAGTGCCGTGAAAAGAGAGTCGGAGGCGGTGTATTAAGAATGGAGTTCCAATCTTTATTATCCATTACTTTCAGAGAGGTTAACACATGCATTGCTCTGCCTGATGAGCTAGCAGGAATGGCAGCTAAAGCTACAGGTGTTCCCCACTAAAGAGTCCGTGTGGCAACACAATAAGCAAGGTGAATTATGTCCAATAACGTGTCACCACAACATATACATTTTAGTTTATGATTCAGCCTTGGGTAAGACTTTTATAGTCTATGGCTATGACGCCCATAATGCTAAACGGGAGCAAATGTTAATAGGGGACCCAATTATCCCAGTGGTGGCCGCCGGAGCTAACGGAGCCGCAGGGGGCTAGCTCCAGCCGGCGTCCCGGAGCTAGCCCACTGCGGCTCCGTTAGGTCCGGGCGGTGGATTCCGTCTTTTCTCAACGTGTGAATGACAAGCATTAAGAATAATAAAATATAGCTAATTCTCTTGCAGATTGTCTCATTTGATTATGAATGTAACGTTTATATAGGGGAACTACACTGTTAGCAGTAACTTGGTATGCATGTATTTCATGTTAGCTTAGCTTCTTAGCCTGAGCTAGCTCTGTTTACTTCCAGTTCGGAGGCAGCAGGTCCCGCCTCGGCTCCGCCTCTTTGCCCTTATTTGGAGCAGGCGGGATTAGACTCTGACGTTGCTGTCAAGCCGTTAGTGGCCGACTCCGCCTACTAAGGGCTTCACGGCAACTCTGCAGAATTCTATGGCTGACGTCACGGACACTACGTCCATTTATATATACAGTCTATGGTGTGGTACAGTGTGTAGGTGTGTGTTGTACAGTGTGTAGGTGTGTGTTGTACAGTGCGTAAATGCGGCGGACAGACGGGTCTCAGTTGGTTTGGTGTCCTCTGCTTACTTTTAATAGGCCTACTTGTAAATACAACTTTTGGCCCGTAATTTCAATTCCCCATTTCAGCAACCAGAGAGAGGGGGGGATATATCCAGTCTCTGATTGTGTTACGTTATTATGAGAGTGCTCTCATACTTTAAATTGTATATATTTATATAAATATATTTGTGTGTGTGTGTCCGCATCTGTAGCCTGTTATTGTCTCATTATACCGCACTCTCAATTAATTCAAAGTAAATATGTGGGGGAACAATGTTCAGCTGATCTAACAGAGATACAGTGCTATGACAAAACACTCGACAGCTGATGCAGCTGTTGCCACGTAATAATGAACGGACGTCTCTTTAAAATGACCGCTCAGAGGAGAGGAGTTCTCATTTCTTTAAACGTCTGCTGCTTCCCCTCCTCTCTCCTCGGTTCCCCTCCTCGGTCCTCCGCTCGCATCTCCTGTGGGCGGGTCTAAGTCTCGAGGAGGGGAGTCGAGGAGGGGAAATTTGAGTATTGAGAAGCCTCTTTTCTCTTGTCTTCCCGGTGTCAGTACCAGATATGTTCGGGCTACCAGATATGTTCGGGTGTATTTCCGTCGCATCCGTCTTCCGTCATATCCGTCATATACTCACCTCCCTCTGCTCCCAGCGCTCTGCTGCCACACACCGGCCGTCTGCGGAACTGCGGGACACCTTGTTATGTGTGGGGTGCTATGGTGGGGTCCCATGTACTTGTGCACATAAATAATGTTTCTAATTATTTACAATTAAAAAATATATATATTCTGCGTTACTTTAGCCAACACTTTTATAAGGCCACTAGATTAGATAATTACGAAATGTGTAGATAGAATACATATATTTCAGGTTGTTATTTTGTCATTATGTTTAATATTTTATTTACCTTTTAGTATTTGTATATAGTATCTGAACTTTGGAGAGGAGTTGGGAGACACACGACACATCAAATCACATCTACAGCTCAAGGCGAAGCGAATGGAAGTACTCCCATACTCCTAGCGTGAAAATGTTTGTGAAAACGTGTGCAGTCTCCGAAAATCCTAAAAAATAAGCTCATATTTGAATTCATCATAAAAAAAACACATCATTCAGTAAAAACAAGGCCCCACTGATCATCTACTCTCTGAGACGATTCCAGGGATGTCTGGCTTGAGTTTCGACCACCAGGGAAAGTGGACAAAAGTGCCCGAGATCAGCCTCTTAATTTACCCAGGGCCTAGTGCTTGGTTTTGGGCATGAAAATTCAGGAAACTCCCCTGAGTATTTTAGTAAATATCTGAACTTTGGAGAGGAGTTGGGGGACACACGACACATCAAATCACATCTACAGATCAAGACGAAGCTAGTGGAAGTACTCCTAGCGTGTGAAAATGTTTGTGAAAAACGTGTGCAAAGTATCCGAAAACGGAGCAGTGGCTGTGAAGCTAGCTTTGCGGCTAGCGGTTAGTTGTTATTGTTTGAAGTTGTTGCTATGGAAACAACATGACGGAGAAAAAATTAATATCTTCTACATATAATAACGGGACAAAGTAAAGAATGAAGTGTAGGCTATGCCTGTTTGAAGTTGTTGCTAAGGAAACAACATGACGGAGAAAAAGTATAATCTTCTACATATAATAACGGACAAAGTAAAGAATGAAGTGTCGGCTATGTTTAAATGTTCGGAATTTGACCGTGATGGCCCTCTTGAGTTGCCGTAAAATATGACGAATATGACGGATGACGGATGCGACGGAAATACACCCGAACATATCTGGTAGCCCGAACATATCTGGTACTGACACCGGGCTGCGACCCGACAACATGGCTGCTTCTCAGGTCGATTAAATGAAATCCTTGCTTCCCTCACTTGCGTCGTTTCCCTGCGTTTAGTCCCTCCCACCAGGGAAGCATGGAGGGACGCAAGGAAACCACGAGAAGCAGGGAAATTAGTTTTAAGAGCAATGGGACATCCTTTCCTCCGGAGCGTCACGTGAAGCGACGTCCAGGTCAGTGAAAAACTACAAGCTGAAACCCATTAAGGTAATTTAGGAAGAAGGTTCCAATATACATGTTGGATAGAAAGAGGTTTAACCTTTCCAAACACAACATGTCTGATGCCATGGCGTGCATTGCAGTAGGCCTTGATGTATATAATGCGCTCCTGCAAGAGCAGGAGCAGTCCAGGCGCCGTCGGGCACGACTACAACAGGCTATTGGTTTCATGGAGGTAAGCATCACTAGTCTGTTGCAGTATGAATGGTTTCACCAACAACAGCAATTTCATGTAAGATCAATTAATTGTCAGTTTAATAAAAGCTAGGTGCTGAAGGTAACATGTATCTTTATTTTGCAGACGGATGTCGATCCCATAGCCATTTTAAACCCTCATGTGCCAGTCCTTGCGGCGTTCTTTGATGGCCAGAAGGACCTCATGCAGGACTACAGACTGGGGCGCCAGTCTCTGGAGGCCCTGCTGACGATCCTGCCATCAAAGAACACACAAGGCTGGTCACATGAGGTGAATATTTTAATTACCCTTTATTGGTTGGCACACGGCTTGTCATACAGTGTGGTGTCCCGAGCCTTTGATGTCCCCAATTCGACCGTCTGCAGACTGGAGTACAACAAATTGCAGCCCTTCGCCAGGAGGTCATCAAACTGCCCCCCCCTGGAGAACTGGAGGAGGTTGGCCAAGAGTTTGCAAGGCTGGCCAACAGCCCAGTATTCTCCAGGTGTGTGGGGGCCATTGATGGCTGCCATGTCCGCATAAAGACCCCCCCAGGACCTCTGGGCCAGGATTACTTCAACAGAAAGCTCTTCCCATCCATACAATTGCAGGCAGTGTGTGATGGGAAGGGCTTCTTTCTCAACACCTTTGTTGGGTATCCTGGCTCAGTCCATGACACCAGAGTCCTGAAGAACAGCGCAATTTACAAACAGGCTCTGTATCCTCCCTCAGGTGACACCAAATATTCTTGTTAATACATCAAAATCCATCAATGACTTTTAGTATACTAAATATGTTCTCTCTCTTTTTAGGATTCTTCCTTTTGGGTGGTGGTGGCTACCCCTGCATAGAAGGACCTGTGGCCCTCATCACCCCATATAGAGAACCACTGCAAGGGAGGGTGCAGAGCCGCTTCAACCAGCATCATGCCAGGGCTCGCTCCATCATAGAGCGGGCCTTTGGCAGGATGAAAAGCAGGTGGAGATCGCTGTTGTTCAAGGCTCTGGAGGTCCACCACACCTTTGTCCCCTCAGTCATCACCGCCTGTGCAGTGCTCCATAACATCTGCCTCACAGCGGGGGACATCCTGGAGCCTGAAGAGGATGTTGGGGACATTGGTGTGGTTCCACCACGTCTGGTGAGGGGGGATCGAGGCGGACATGGCCAGCGAGACCGACTGGCAGGGCTGCTCTCTGCTCCATGTGTGCAACCAGTTGAACTACAAGAACATGATTATTTGTAGGACTTGGGGACACGAAGGCCTTGGACACCACACTGTGTGAAAAGCTGTGTGCCTTCATTTGCGGTTTATTGCGTTGTGATGTTTATAATTTAACAAATAAAGGAACAATGTTTTGACAAACAAAGTGTATCTCAATGGAACAATAACAACGTTGCAAAAACTTAGAAACAAAATCATTTATTTACCAATTTCTCAAATAAATCCAAAAATCTTTTTGTGTTAGCCTGATTGGCCTCAAAGCGTTCCTGCTCTCGTTGGGCCTCCTCTTTCAGAAACTCTAATAGGGCCCCCCTACTTGCCCTCTTCTTCTTGGCAGGTGGGGGACTGAGAGAGGTGGATGGCTCTTCATCCAGTGTAGTGGTGCTGCTGCTTGTGCCAGGCTGCCCAGGATCCTCCTCTTCCTCCATTGCCTGGCCACAAGGAGCAGCCCCAGCTCCACTGGATGAAGAGCCAATCCCACTGGGGGCCACGTCAGCCGAGTCCATCAGGACTGGAGGCTCCATGGAGGGCCGACTCCCAATGGCTTCATGCATCAGGGAAAACCACGACCATGTGGCTGCCGTGGCCTCCCCCGCATCTGTCCCCGTCCCTGTAGGGGGGGTTTTCAGCTCCTGAGGGAGAACAAGGAATGTATGAGTCAGATGAAGACACAATAGAAATAGCTGCATTGTATGCATCTAGAAATACAATATCTCACCTTATATTTTCTTTTCAGGTTGTCCCACTTTTTTGCCAGTTGGGTGGGAGTGAGCAACTCCTCCAACTCCATCTTCTGCAGAACCTCTCTGTGGAGTAAACCATTTCTTAAATTATAGCATCCAGGCATGCAAAGTCTGATTACTTCTTGTTGTGGAAATAATTATCATAAGACGCCAATTAGTAACATACAGGACAAACCTCGATGTCTGTTTACCTTCTTTAAGGACACAGGCGGCTTAGCCAATAATGTTATTGTTCCCATTCTGTGACCGGTCAATACTGGGTCACAGATGGTCTGTGTTGTGGGTACACTGGGACACTTCCTTCTCTGTATTTGTGGACTCCAAGGTAAAATCTTCGAGGTCATAAGTGTCCGAGGCAAGTAGCTCTGTGTTCCCACACTGTTTAGGCTATCTCCTCAAATATGTTGTTTACTCTCTGCGAAACCAGTTAGATGGGCTGGCAAGAGAGAGGCTCTCCAGAATTGACGTGGCAACTCTACCGTGAAGTCAGAACCTCTGACTCTTGGACTTGTGATGTGAATCCTCCGGCCGTTAACTCCAAATAAACCATCATGTGTTTGACATCAAAGCTACTGCTCTTCCCGTGTCTCCTTCCTGAGTCGGTGACTCCCACTGCATAGCTACACAGAAGTTTCCTCTACACTTCTGACAATATGCTTCATGCATAATAATTCCATGACACACTCAGGTTCACTGTGGTTCATTCACAGTAGTGGTTACATTGATTATCATACCATGCACCAAAACAACATTGTCAAACAACTCATGTAGAACTGTAGCTCACCCCCAGGCCTTCTTGGCTGTGAACCTCTTTCCTGTAAACAGGTGCTCATTGTCAGTCCTCTGTTGAATGAGGGCTCTGGTTTGGGCCTCCGTCCCTGTTTAAGGAGAATTATGTTATACATACATCAGCAAAAGGAAACCTTAAGCCATTAACATTTCACTCACATAATGCTGCATATAAATGACAGCTTAATTATTGAATTGAGCCGATTTGAATGTATTGAATTATTTATTACAAATACATTGTGACTGCCAGCCAAATGAATGATGGTACCTTAGTTATGTCTGTATGTGGCAGGTAGCCTAGTTAAATGAAGAAACAAGTGGTTTCCAACCGAAATATGTCCGATAAATAACGAATGCTGCGTGTGTATACGCACGTTATGTAGCCTATTGCAAATCTTGCCTTTAGTTGGGCATTTCACATGAACATTGTTGAGAAAATATAAAGCGTTCAATAACAGAAATATATGAGTTGTGGGTTAAATACATGTGAACAGATGTTGCATTATCGTAACGGTATCGTTGTAGGCATACAAATAACATGAAGTAATAGGTACTTACACTTGTGTAGTTTTTCTGCCGCCATGTCTTTCAAATGTGCCAGTTGCATGCTGGAGGCAGGGCTTTTAAACCGAGTGAAATCAAGGATTCATGCCTCAGCTGTGATTGAATGGAAATGACAATAAATGAAACTAAAACGAAAAAAGCGATCATGAAAATGTTTCCAATAATGATTTTTGACCACTTTTGTTCAGATCACATATTTGTAACTAAATGATACATTAATTGAAACAAAACACGGTATAAACTGAGGAGTGAGTCCTGTGAGGTTCATGTATTTTCTTCACTCCGCTGGGGTATTGCTCTCATGTCAAGAAGCATCAGATCAGTGCATGCACTGCCTCGTCCAATCAGTGAGCGATACACAGTAAGGGGGCGGGGTGAGTATCTGAGGATTTCATCAGAGGATGGTCTGGTGGTTCCTCGGTTATCGCTCCTCCATGATCGCTCCTCGCTCCTCGATCGTCGGTCCTCCGGCAGAAATAAGAGCCATGGGACGGTACTCAAGATGGCGCAGGCAAATCAACTTCCGGTGAGACCGAGGACCGAGGAGCGAGGAAATGAAAATAGTCGACCTGAGAAGCAGCCCATGTCTGTTTCTGCTGCTCATTAAAGTTCCCTTTTGCACCTTCGATGCACCGCCTCCGACTCCTATCTCTCGGCACTACATTGGTGACCCTGATACAAGTCTCGTGAAGTTTCCGGGACTGACCCGAACATGGCGAAAAACGCTGTTTTTCTCGATGTGCCGGAGATTTTTGGAGACGTCCGTGGTTGCCACCGTGAGGCTCGGTGCGCCCCCCACTGAATGGCTGAGGACGTCGCTCGCCATTCCCACATCGTCTCGGCACTGGAAGACAGCAAGCCTTCCGACTACACGGAGACGATACACGACCTGCTAGGTATGGGAGAACCCGCCTTCTACCTCATGGGGCTGTTTCTTCGGGACGTGCGGCTGCATGTCCAGGCTGCACTAGCTAACACGGCTAGTGTTGAGCCCCGCGCTTTAGCCGAAGAAGCTAGCCGGTTCTTCCTGGCCGCCCGGCGATTTAACCCTGAGGTGCTGGCCACTACACGCAGCGGCACCTTCCCTGGTAGAGGCACGCCGCCTAGCAGAGGCTCCGGGGCCGACGACATCGACTAACGGCTGCCGGCTTACGGTTGGCGGCCGTCGACACCAGCTAACAGCTAACCACGACGGCTAACGGCTGGCAACTACCGACGGCTAATAACGACAGCTAGCAACGGCTGACAGCTAGCAACGGCTGACAGCTAGCAACGGCTGACAGCTAGCAACGGCTGACAGCTAACGACGACTAGCAGCTACCGAAGACTACCAGCTAGCGGCTAACGACGACAGCTAACGACTAGCTGCTAACGGCTATCGACATTCATCGGTTGACATCCGACTGTTAACCCCTTTTTTTTCTCGGTGCCTGAGAGGAGGTTCGACCAGCCGGTTGACCTCGTGTGGATACTCTCACAATTTCGCCCACGGGTTTCGGACGTCGCCCATGCCTTCATCGGCCCGTGGGTGGCACGCTTCTGGACCCTGCCTGGCCTCTCTTCGAACCGCGGCTCACGGTTCGCCTCGACGGCGGCTTCGGACGTCGCCCGCGCTGTCATCGGCGCACTTCTGGACCCCGTCTGGCCTCTCCCCTGTCCACGGCTCCTTCCTCCTGGGGATACTGCTCCTTCCTCCCGGGGATACAGCTCCTTCCTCCCAAGGACTTCGTGCCCGCCGCCGCTGTGCCCTCGCCTGCGGCCGGGCAGCGCTCCTTCCTGCTGGAGACCACTGGGATATTCACGCCCATCCCTGCGTCGCAGCACAGCGACCCAGCTTTCTTTGTCTGGTGGATGTTGTCTTATAATAATAATAATAATATATTTTATTTATAAGCGCACTTTTCATTTGCGTAAACAAAACTCAAAGTGCTACAAAATTAAAAATTAAAAAGGGTGAAACAAAACAACCAAAACAATAAAAAAACAATTTAAAAACAATTAAAACAACATAATAAAAGCTGTGGCATTCATGCCGGCATGGCATAATGTGGGGGATTTAAAAATCTAGTTAAAGGCTATTCTAAAAAGATACGTTTTTAGGCCTTTTTTGAACGCCTCCACAGTCTGTGGTGTCCTCAGCTGGTTTGGGAGGGCATTCCACAGTCTCGGAGCAGCGGAGCAGAAGGCTCGGTCTTCCATGGTCTTCAGTTTTGTCCTTGGTGGGATGAGGAGGTTTGCCTTTACTGAACGTAGGTTCCTCGTGGAGGTTTGTGGGGTGAGCAATTCCTTGATGTAGGAGGGAGCATTTCCATATATGCACTGATGAGTGAAGAGGGTGATTTTGTAGTCAATCCTGAGTGAGACCACAGTGCCTACCACGGCCCCCTTACGACGGCCCGTTCCGTGGCCGCCCCCCACCCGCGGGTGGGGATGCCCTCGCCCTCGTTGGGGCCCCTAACCTCTCCTGCGGCCCCACCCTCCTCGGCCCCTGTGGTGCTTCCTCCCGGACGAGAGGATTGTGTCGATGGTTGAATTCTGGGGGGGCTTGTGTAGTGATCACTTATTAACACACATAATTCACACATGGAACTACAGGTTGGGGGTATTGTTTCCGCACGGACATATAGGTTAACTATATATATTGTGTGCCGTCCTGGCTTCTTTCTCTTGTCTTCCCGGGCTGAGACCCGACAACATGTCTGTTTCTGCTGCTCATTAAAGTTCCCTTTTGCACCTTCGATGCACCGCCTCCGGCTCCTATTTCTCGGCACTACAATCTCAACATTGTACAGTACTTGAATAAATCACTGAGTTACTTCCCACCTCCAAAAATCATCATAACAATATAATACACATTGTATTACATATTAAATTGTTTCCAGAATCATACAAGCTACACCGTATAAGTGCATAGAGTGGCGAAGTCCCTCCCCTTCCGGTGGACCTCCATGGGACCTTATTTCGAAAAAATTATGTATTGAAGTCAATGGAGAGAGAAATATTATCTTTCGATCCCGTTTGAATTGTGCCACAAATTACATATATGATTGTCAATTTAAAAGATAATTTTGTCAACAAAATTTTTTTTCCCGTAAAACTGAAGTAACACATTTGTTTGTGTGAAACGCTCAATGAACTACATCTCTGGGGCCTCATTTATAAAGGGATATGTTGAACTGTTGTGAACGATTCATCTCTTGAATGCTCTTATGCTGATGTCATATCTGTCAATCTGTCAATCACACAGCTGGTTCTAATAAAGGGATCATTGCTGGCTCACTCGAAGAACTCAGTCAGTGTCATGTGAACTACAATGCAAGTGTGTGGCGTCTTTTATTCCTCCGTAGTATTAGTCCAAGGCTATCTAGACCTTTGCTGGTAATGGCTGCTGCGCCAACAGGTTATGGGCCCAGAAAGGATTTTGGAAACCGATGGAATCGTTTGTACTTTGACGGAGATGAGAAAAACTATGAGTTGTGGGAAACAAAGTTTCTTTGCCACCTTTGCTACAAGGGCTGAAAAGCACCATATTGAAAGAGCCTGACAGTGGCGGAGGCAAAGAGGACGCAGAAGACGCTGATAAAAATGAAGAAGTCTACGCTGAACTTATTCAATTGTTGGACGATACAAGTTTGTCTCTGGTCATGAGAGATGCAGCGGACGATGGGAGAAAGGCGTTGAAGATTCTGAGGGATCACTACGCAGGTACAGGAAAACCGCGTGTGATCAGCTTGTATACAGAGCTTACGTCTCTCCAGAAATATGCTAATGAAAGCATCACAGACTATATTATACGAGCAGAGACTGCTATCACAGTACTGAGGAATGCAGAAGAGATTTTGAGTGACGGTTTATTGATAGCTATGATTCTGAAGGGGCTGCCAGCGTCATTTAAGCCGTTTTCTATCCACACTACACAAAGTCATGAGAAGATCACCTTCGCCGAGTTCAAGACCAAGCTGAGGAGCTACGAGAGCACTGAGAAGTTCAGTGGGAGCTCAGTTGATGACAGCGTGATGAAAGTAAGAGGCAAAGACTTTGATGTGAAGCTGCTGACCTGTTATACTTGCGGCCAGAAGGGTCACAGGGCCCGCGAGTGCAAGGCTGCTGGTCACGGGGAACAACAGAGACAGTGGTGCCGTTTTTGCAGGAGTTCCACGCACAGAGATGCAAACTGCAGGCGGAGAGGACGACGAGACAACGTAAAACAGGCCATGGATGAAGAGGACCACGACCACCACCACACATTCGCCTTCAAGGCCCGCGAACGACAGGTGGACAGCGACCCGGGCGATGGACTGAAGCAAAGAGGGCTTATGGTCGACACCGGTGCTACATCGCACATAGTGACTGACATGAACAAATTCAAAGACTTTGACGAGAGTTTCGAGCCACGAAAACATGTCCTGGAGTTGGCTGATGGAGTGAGGGCCTCTGGCATAGCGCTGAAGAGAGGTGCAGCCAAAGTTTGGCTGAAAGACAATACGGGTCGAGAGGTGGAGACGATGCTGGCGCTGTACGTCCCATCCTTTCCCCAAGACATTTTCTCGGTCAAAGCAGCGACGACCAATTGAGCCACGGTCGTATTCAAAGAAGAACAAGCTCATTCACGAGAACGGTATGACATTTGATGTTATGGTGTATGATAGATTGTTTTATTTAAACACAGTTAATGATGAAAATGTTGATGAATGTCATGGGTGTTATGATATCAAAACATGGCACGAAATTCTAGGTCACTGTAACTACGAAGATGTGATGAAATTGCAAAAAGTCACAGAGGGTATGACAATTAAAGGCAAAACTGATGCATCTAATTTGACATGTGAAGTGTGCACAAAAGGAAAATTTGCTCAGAGCAGGAGCAGAGAGCCAGATGAAAGGGCAAAGGCTGCACTGCAGCTTGTACACACAGATTTGTCTGGACCTATAGATCCTACAGCTAAAGATGGGTTCAGATACACATTAGCATTTACTGATGACTATTCAGGAGCAGTTTTTGCTTATTTTTTTAAATCTAAGAGTGACACAGTCAAGGCTACTGAGAAGTACATTGCTGACGTTTCACCTTATGGAAAAATCAAATGCATTAG